TTGAATATTCTGGAAGAATTAAAAAAACTGATAGAAGAGATGTAGGCAAGTTTTGTTCTTCTCCCTCTAAGACATTTCAATGACAATAAAAATGTCTTCATTTTGATCAAGCATCTATTTGCCATTCAAGGGTTTTTTGACTGAACAGGTCAAAGACCTGTGGAGAGAAAATGAATTTCAGGCTTTTCACAGAATCCCCTAAACTTCAGATGAAAAGGCTTTCATTTGTACTTAGGAAAATAATAATAATAAAAAGCTCTATTGGAGAAAGCGTGCAACTTCCCCAGCTAACTCAGGAAGACCAATGGCTGAAGAACTGCCAGAGGTCATATGCCAGATTGTATTAGAGATTCAGTATGACTTTAAGTGAGGGACTAAGAGATGCTACTTTTCAAAGAATCCATCCTATTGGCACTAGTTTGCTTTTCTGCTTTTGCTGATTTTGGAGCCGGTAAGATTCACTGCTTTTCTTTCACAGGTACCTCACTTAGAAAACTGCAGGTCCCATCTCTGCCTCTTCAGAACTTGCCTGTGTGTCCTCCTTGTGATTACATACAAATTAATCACCTCTGCAGTAGGCAGTGGCAGTACTAAACGGGAGGAAATATTAGTCTTTCTGTTTCTGTTTTTGAATCCCATCCGTTAGGGTGCATTGCCCACTCAAATGTGAGTACACTTAAAGCCAGAAGATGCTCAGTGCCCGTGCCTGTGCAATCCACCTGCCTCTGCTGGAGAAAGAGGGATAAGGGGAAAAAAATCACATCTAAAAGCTCTTGTGTTGGAAATGCAACTGCTGATGAAATGTATTAAATTGAGTTGATTATTTCTCCGGATCCAGCAGGTCTACTGCTACTCTTAAAGATCTTGTGTAGGTGTCATGAGAAAGCAATATTGGAAGGAATTCTGCTGAATTGCAAAGGAAGAAAAGTATTCACCTTTGGTCTCACTCTGTGCCTGCAGGAGAGAATTTGCAAGTTGTCCTTTAGGCTAGGACCTTAGAAGGTTTAGAGATCAAGGATCCAGTGCTAGTCTGCCACTATTGTAAACTGGGAAAGGGCATCATCAGATTTGCAACTCTTTGCAAATCATGACCAATAGGGAGGCACTTGGCTGAATATGAAATCTTGCAAAGCATGTATTATCACCTTTCAACGACCTATGAATTCTTAGTATCTTATGCTGTAGGAAAGGCATCTATGTAGGCATTAGTGTAGGCTGTCTGCAACTCAGACAGATAGCAGCATAAGGGGGTCAAACTGAAAAGACACTAGCTTCTGCCAAAAACTGAAGTATCCTTATTTCACGTAAGTAATTCATCTTTTGTCTGTTTGGTCAAGAAAGCGCAGCTCAGGGATGTGATTTGGCCAAAAACTGGGATGAGAGCTGAGCAGGGAGAGAGGTAAAGGCAGGAGCAACTTCCGTGGTAATCCCCTGAGGAACCAAAATGATACTGAAGAGATGGTAAACTTCTTGTAGGAGAGGAGTTATTCTGTGACTGGATACAAATCAAGTGATTTCTCACAGCAGAAAGATAGCAAGAGGGGAGCATAAATCTGGGGCACATTCCTTACAGTATATTCCAGAAGCAGTGCAGTGACAGGCTGTGCCTCTCCCCTCAGCTGGACAAATGTCTCTTACTGCCAGACGCCCATGAGAAAATGCTCACCAATCAGGAAGCACAGAGTTGAATGAGCTGAGACATGAAATGGTTTCCAGGTCCAATTCCCCTCAATAAGAAGGGAAGGATAAGAGGGAAGAGAAAGAAAAAAGAAATAATGTCTTGACATCCCTTGAGGGAGAAGATAACTGCCTCCTTCAGGAGAGACAGAGAGACTAGAAACAGGAAAGCTGTTACAAGCTGGAAAGTCGTTCTGTTTAGTGAGACCCAGGCTGAGACAAAAACAATCAAGACAGTCATGCTGCTGGACCCAAGGTCATCAGGAAAGCGCACCTCTGCTCTACGGCACATAATGAAATAGCAAATGAAAGCAGCACTGTCTAGGTGTGTTTCTGTTTGTGGGCAATACACAGAAAGGAACTCCATTTGCAATTACGGGCTGCTCAGAGTTATCACTAATCTGTGGTATGTTCTCTCTGCTCAGCCCCGAGGCACGAGTCCTCATTCCTTTTCCATTTCTCAAGTACCTAAGAAAACCACGGACAAGCCAAAGTAATCATTTAGTTTATTATATGGCAAAGGTACACTAGTCACAGCGGTCCCCTTTAAATACCAATCCTGGCAGTATTAATCTCACTTTTGAGACAGAAAAGATTGGATGCAAGCTATCAAAAAATTGGGCACCATAGAGCTTTGGGGAAAACAGATGTAGGGAATCTTAATTTTCTTAAGTGCTCATCTAAACAGCCACAGACAACAGAGAAGGCAGAGCAGGTAAAACTTTTCCATGGTCAGGGATGACGATGTTACCTTTCAAACTCCACTTAGCAGCTACTTCCTGCCTTTTAGCTTCCTTTCATCTGCTATGGGTTATTAAAGCTGTACGCCCCATTGTTTTCCTCCAGGTAGCATCATACCTAGTCCTCACAAGAGATCAATCAACAGTAAAAGCTGGCGTGAGCCTACTCCCAAGTACGGGGAGTAGGACAGACTCCTGGACGAGGGCAGCTGAACTACTGATAAAAGTTAAAACCATGAACTGCTTCTATATAGTTTTATAATATATGCATAATAGATCCACGCATCTATTTATATATATGCTAGTTGTATATAAATGCATGCTTTCTTATTTTTCTTCATTATTCTGTAATACATTTATTTTTATAATGCACATTTGATTTTAAAGGAAGGAATTTACGGCTGAAGTATATTTTGAGAGACAGAAATACATTTGATAAAGTCCTGAGCAAGCTGGTCTCATCTCATAGCTGACTCTGCTTTGAGCAAGGGGTTGGATTAGAGACCTCCTGAAGTCCCTTCCAACCTGAATGATCCTCCAATCCTATGAAAACAGACAGAAGACAGCAGGATTCTTCATAGCTTTCAATGTTTCCTTTATCTGGCAAAGATATTTTAAAATGTATGCCTTCCGCATTAGTTATTTATGGTCATTACATCTCTGAACCAATCTTGACAAAGCCGAGATAACAACATCGCCAGTGAAAATAAATGAAAACTGCCAGCGGTATAAAGCAATTAGCCAACCCCTGGCAACCAAACCATTCTGGCATTCTTGTCCCAAACAGATATATTCACTTGGGTGAATAGTTTTGTAAGTAATTTCATTTTTCTCTCAGGAAAACAAGTTCATTTAAAAACCTTTTATTATATCTGCAAGTTTCTCAGTCTATTCACTGTTGTGAGGAAAGTGCTCGGCTGTCTCTGAACGCAGTTTCCGGGTGCTGATGTCTGAAGCTTTTAAAACCTGGGCCTGGATCCATCTCCCATAAACTTGGGAACATAGCTAAGAGCAAAATTAACTTGGGCCATTTGTATGTCAAAGAAATAAGGAAGAAATTCAGACCTCAAGATAGTAAAATGGATAGGCTTCTACCCTGTCAAATGTAGAATGCTGTTAGAGTCACCAGGATATATGCTCACCATAAATCTGATAAACTGTAGATGGGTATTTTTTAATGTAACACAAATAAGATTCAATAGCTTTTCTCCTGAGCTACTCAACTAAATTTAGAAACAAACTCTGAGTTCATCATCAAATAACATTGAATTAGTATGTTCATTTCATGGGCAGTTAACCTTTATGTCTCTTTAATAATTGATTGCCTTAATACTTTGTTAATATTATTAGTTTCATTACTTTATCTTTTTTTCTTACCCTTGGCCTTTTATTACATTAGCTCAATAAATTTTCATAGAATTGATCAGCTACAAGAAAGAAGTTGTAATGCTATAATACCGTTCTTCCTTTCATGGAAGGAAAACAATTCTAATTTTTCTACATATCCCTCTTCACAAGGACAATTGTAACACAATGATTGTTAATTAAATTACTGTAACTATGCTTAATGTTATTATTTATATAGTTTCGATCCAAAAAATTGAGTAAAACTAAGCTATATTCATAGCTGTTATTCATTTATGCTACTATAACTTAATCTTCCCAATAACCTGTCATAACTACTAAGTATCTTAACTTAAATTGTAATACCTAATCATGCAGGAACAAAGGCAATTTGATGCTGTATAACATCTAATATTCCAGACAAGAAAAGAGCAAAAGGGTCAGGTCAAGTATCTCACATTAGATATTGTTTCAGGAAACAGAAAATGAAAATGCCTCTGCTGGAAGGATTATCTATCCCACGCAGCTTCTTTAATAAAGTGTAAATTTCTAAGTAAGTATTGTGAGGTGTAACTGAAATAAATATTTCACATGAAAGTAGCACTAAGATCAGAAATCAGATCTATGGGTCAGTAACTTTTTTGCTTGTTTTTGAATTTTCACTTAGCAGCCCAGGGTCCTGACTGGCTTTGTCAAGACTTCTTAACTGCCTTGACTGATTTGACATTGCTACTGTATTCCTCCACAATTACAAATGAGCTTGATCTAACACCCACTGAATTGAATGGAAAGGTTCCCAGTGTCTATGAGTGATACTGGAGCAGTTCCACTGTTTGCATCATTTATTAGGGCATTTTGCCTGGCATGATCTGAGAAGTCCTTAGGTAAGACTAATATCTTTTTATTTGCATTAAGTTTGCATTCCAAAATTCTGTTCATTACTGGAAAGCTTTATTAAAGACCTGTAGAAGCTTAGCATCACTCAAAGCCTAATAATACAGTAGTTTTTAAGAGAGATTTTCACTGCAGAGATCAGTCTCGAAAGATCTAGTAACATATTGGACAATTTTCAGATCATCCCACTTTTGCAAAATAATCATTCAATTTGCTGCAGCAACTATGTTCAGACTGGAATTGTTACCCATATGTACATTACTAGTCTATTGCTTTATTGGTTATATTAACTACATTTTGTTTCACTGATGTAAATTAACATTTTGATGTTGATCTTCATACTTTAGATAACCTACTCAACAAGATGTTTCTTGTAATGGATTTTCCTGGCAAAAAAAATGTATTATGGAAATGTCTCCAATCCAAGGTAATTTGCACTGATGACCAGTAACCACATTTGAAAAATGAATGGTTTAATTACCAAAATTAAGCCAATTTCTTCCATATGTCTGTAAAAATAGCTGCTCCAAGAAAGTCAGATTCTGTGTGTATACAATTTAGACACTAGCCCATAAAATTTAATTTACATTAATTTCTCTACCATGAGCAAGGAAAAAGCCTTGAATGTAAATATTAGATGCTTGGAAGGGGGCCAATATAGTGCACAGTAGCTACCAATATATGCCATGTTTAGGGAAAGCATTTTTGTTCACGCTTATAGAACGAGGTGTTTCACTCAGGATGCTTCACGAGCAAGTCAGCTCAGTCAAGCTAAATTGCTTTATATAAATCTTTATTCTTTCATTTAGATATACAGATTCATTAAGAATTTCCAGATTTTCTTCATCTAAAGCTTTCTTTTCTTAAATTTAAAGTGTTATCTCATGGAGATTACTGATGCAATTTAGCATGAGCTGATTATAAAGTGAGTGTGGAGAAGTGATGAGCAAAACTAAACCAAATTCGCCTGTGCTAGCTTTCTGTTTGTGATACTACATTGACTTCAGTAGTCTCACTTTTTATCCACAAAAATAAGACCATATTCAGAGCCAGAAATATAGTGTATATTTGGTCTGGTAAAATTGCAAGAATAGTTTCATAAACTATTAAACCTATTTACATAACTCGGGAAAGTATAAAGTATCCAGTCTTGGATGTCTGGATTTACTTTTAGTATCTCTATCAACCTATAGAGCGGACTTTATATTGATAATATATGATATTATAAATATCATAAATGTTCCAGTTTATCTCTGCAATACTTTCCAGGATAAATGTCTTAGATCATAGGGTTTTTTTTTTTTTTTAATTAGAAAAATTCTACACCTACTTTCATCTCATTAAAAATAGCTTACTGTGGGCCAGGCTTCTTTTAAGAAAGAAGATGAACTTACCTGAAAGAGATCAGTTAGGGAGAAAATAAAAAAAAAGGAGACTGTTTTCTATATGACAAGTTCCCTTTCACAGTCACATGCTGCTTTGTTTTAAAGACGCAGCTTTTGGACACTTTTAAAAAATTAACTGTTGACTCCTAAGTGAATGGGCTCATAGGCATCTGCACACCTGGACCAGTTAACGCAGATAATGACTGGGACTAGTAACTTAATGAAAAGGTATTAGGATTGCACAATTATACAAGCAGGTTTGCAGATAATGAAACATCCCTGTAACTTTAAACAGGAAAAGTGGGCCAGATCAGCAGAAACCAAACCCTTAATGCAGTGCAGGTGCTGCCATGGAAATGGACTGCAGACAGATCCCCAACATGTGAGTAAATTTTGTAACTTTACAGTTATGTTCATGTTGCTGTTTTTTTCTTAAAAAAAAAAAGAAAGGAAATGGTAAAAATAAATTTAACTCATCAGTATTTCAAAACCTTTATTGTCGGTGCTAACAAATTACCACATCATTTTAAAATGAACACGCTACATTCCCTACCAACAGTGTTCCTCAATACTGCTATATAAGCTCATGTTTAGATCTGGATGTATGACTCATTCCACAGATTACATTTTCTTGGCGGATCAGGCATGTATCCGGAAGATCGTCACATAGGCTCTTACTTAAAAAGCCCAGTCCCCATTCTAAGCTGGTGTCTTTTCAGACAATTTCCTTTTCTTGTACTGTTACAGGTATCTCAGAAAACAGATTAATTTGTTTCAATTAGCAAGTGAAAATTAGCTCAGCTAAATTTTTCTTCTCTTCTACAGGCCAAATTGAATTGGATTATATGTACTGGCTACAGTACCTGCTGTTTAATGTCATGTAAAACCCTTGCCTGAAGACCAGCAGCTATTCAGCTTCCAAATGGATTTGTTATTATTGAGTATGAGATAGCCTGACCTAGCCTGCTGCAAAGCATGTTTCATTTCTGCTCTCCTAGGCGTTTGTAACCAGGGAAGAACTGAAAGAAGATTAGATTTACGTGCTGGTTTGGGGTTCTACTGAATGATACTGACACTTTGGGTAATTTAAAGTGTAATGATACGGTTAGATGTACATAGTCAGGTGTGCCTAGAAAGGATAGACAGCCATCCTTTTTGGAGTGTGCATGCTGGATTTCCATGTATACCTAAATGTCATGAGGCAAATGGGTCTTAGTGACTTTTAGTAGGATCTCTAAATCTACCAAAAACCAGGAACTTTGGAAAATATTAAGGTACATGCATAAAAAGAAAATAAAATATCTGGGTTTACCTTCTTATGAAAGCCATCTAAAGAAGATATTTAAATTATTTTAATGATGAAATCAAAAGGGTCAAAGAATATCCTTTAATCAAATTTTAAGTCTTCGCTGGTAATTTGTGACATACTGTACAAATCTTCTCTGCTGTGCTATGGATATACGCATATGTTCTGTAACATCTGGAATAAGCTGTGACCCAGCCAGCTTTCGGCTTGGAATATATCAACCAGGGGATTTCTGAAAGATCAATTTTTTGTTTCAGATCATGTAAATAATTTTTACTTTTCAAGGGAGAAAAAACAAGAGTGATATTTAGTTTTCACTAATCATTACACACTAAGTGGAGTGTTCCATTATCAGACTGAGATAACTCTCCAAGCTGTTAGAAAATAGTCCCACTCTCTGTACCAAATCATTTTCTGATTCTGTGTTTTTCTGTGATTCTATTTGTGGTCCAGATCAGAAGCTCTGAGCTGATATAGAGATGCTCAACAGGCTTAAGATATCCTCCTGCATTGAGCGATAGGACCTTCCATTTGAAAAACTTTGAGAATGTTTTATAAAAGGTAATTAAATAAACATTGAGATGGGAAGGCAGAAGAAAAGAGAAGCTCTAACAAGTCTCACATTATTCTATACACTGAAGTATTTATTATCCTGAGGATATTACTGGTCACAGTGGACACAAACGTTTTGCCGATAATAAACAACAGATTTTTCCATTATATTACTCTATGACAAGCACTGAAGAGCTGCTAAACTGTGGTAACTTAAATCTAGGTCCCTGTTGGCCTGGTTGCTTTATTGCTTGTGATAGGCAGCTACGTGATAGAGGTGTATTCAGCTGGAAAGGAATTTCCTGGGCCACTGAATCCTTCTTCTCCTCAGCCCTCCCCTCCTGCCCCATCCTCGCTTGAGACAACCCTGAAATATAAAATCTACTCCACGTACCTTCCAAACCACAAGCTAAATACCCTTCCAAACACCCTATTATAAAGCTAAGGCATATAATAGGAAAGGCCAGAAGCCACAAGCTATAATGAGCCCCAGGGGAACTCAAGGGCATCGCCAATGTCTGAGGTGCCTTCAATATGAGAGAATTCATTAGCTGACAGAAATGGATTTGGGAGAATGAATCCCCTAGAGAAGATGAGGAAGGAGACAAGCTCTTTATGTCTGATATAGCCTTCTTCCCTCAGTCTGTTAATCTTATAATTGGAATAAGCTAAGGTGGCTTCAGAGCAGGCTAGCTGTGAAAGGCCGCATGGCAGTGGGTTGCGAGCAGAGAGCAGGGCTCCACCAGCTGGAAGCCAGTTCGAAAGGAAGTGCACCGTAAAACGCATTGCTTGATAGATTTCAAATTAACTAAATAGCAACGCTGTGATCCAACTAAACCCTGTCCCTTGCGTTCTGCCTTTGAACCCATGTGTCTGGGACAAAAAATTGAGCTAAACCAGAAGCCGACCATCATTTTACACAGCCGATTGTCTTAGCAGAAACAAAAGAGTACAAACAGAAAAGATGCCAGCACTATATTTTAACTGAAGAAAGTATGGAAAACTGGTATGAGGCAAGTTTTACATAATGACTTCTCAAAGATACTCATCTTCTGCTAATGGCAGCAGTAGAAGCCATAAAAGCAGCTGCTGTTGCAGTCTCTTTACCTAGTGTGGCTGTCCAAACACTTTTGCCTGTTTTTGAAAGCAGGCGGACAGCTCTAGTTGCAGCATCGCTTTTATATATTTTTTATGCTAATGCGTTCAGGTTTTCCTTCAGGAAATCTTGTTTTTCATTATCAGTGCCAGATTAAAATTTTAACAACTTTCTTGTACTTGAAACAAAGATGTTTGTGTAAATTTACTGCTTGGGCAAAGGGAGACGTGACTTTCAGTGATATCCAGTTCAAGCTAGCCTTCAGCTACTTCCTGCTGCTTTATCTTTACGCCGTCTACTCAGTGATTCTGGAGCATAAACACCCAAAGAAAATCCTCTCGGAGGAGATGTCCTTCTGACTTTGTAATGAAATGTCACTAAAACAGTCTGCAATCAGCACTGGAAAAAAAGGGGATTATCAGTGCAGGAAAACAGAGTCATGTTTCAAAGACTGACAGCCGATCTAAATCTGGATGCCACAAAGCAAAGGCCAAGTCCCGCCGAAGCTAACACCAAACCTCCTCTTAATTTTAGCGGAGGAGGGAGGAAGAAGAATGTCTGAGCTTTCAAATTCTCTGGGAAGAAAAGTGCAGATGAGCAGAAAAGCTGACCCCCAAATAAAATTTACTATTTAGATCTTGGAAAACGATAACAACAACTTGACGGAGCTTATTAAGGCAGGGCTCCTGGGAGCTCCTTCCTATTTTAACACTTATTTTTGGGAAAAATTCATTTTGGACCTGATTTTGAAACTGTTAAATTTATTCAGTTAATCAGCTGAGGACTTTGGTTCAGAAAGTATTCATACATGTCAATAAAACTGCATATGTGATAATATCTACAATAGCAGAGATCTTAATTCATGGAAGCAGCAGAAATTTAACATGAGTTAACATCAGGATCCTGTTTTCACAACCCTAAAACAGCTATAATTGCTCTGCCTCACAAAGAATTGAGAATGAAGCTTTTTTTTCCCAATACTTCATGATAATAATTATATAAAATGATATTTGTTTATCAGAGAACTAGCAAACCTCTCTATAATTCAGGATTTATTGTTGGGGCTGGAATGGGCAAGCACTCTAATGAAATTTATTTCATTAAAATCACCCAGCCTTTCAGGTGGCAGCAGAATTTGTTATATGTGACAGTTTCCAAAATGAAGAATAAGGGAAAGGGAAAAAGAAAAGAAGAAAAGACCAAAACAGATGTTAAAATTGCAGTGCAATAAAAAAGTTTCACAAATCTAGAACATCAGTATTTTATATTTCATGTAGTTTCAACAACAACAGCAAAAACCCAAGCTCATGCAAATCCATGAAGATGCTGTAGGGTCACAGAATGAATTAGGTTGTTGTGACAGAAAGGGGACATAACAGGGATACTCAAAGATACATTAAGTGAGTATAGTATCCTCAGGGCACAGGGATTTGTAGTCTCCTAAATGTCCCTATATACATTCGGATTTTGATGGGGCACTATTAAATGTTACGGCAGGTGAAGACTTCCATCAATACACGTGTTAATCTGGCGCTTGGGATGTCTGAAGAATTTCTGTGGAGAGAACTGCAAAAGTGCTCACACTCACAGAGAACAATTAGGAGATGTTAAACTGGATGTTAAAGATTTCTAAAGTTGTCTGATATCACATAATAAAGTTGAAACAGAGAATTTAAGTAGCACTTTGGTAGAATACTGTATGGCCTAATCATAGACTCTGGGGAAATGTCTCCAGCTGGATGCTGAACTGAATTTCAATGACGGTAAAAAGCAGAGAAGAGAGACTGCTCCATGGGTGGACAGCGATGTCTTTTTATCTTATCTATTAGTAATGACAAAATAATTCACTCCTACTTTATACAGATCTATTTATTTTACAGAGAAAAGGACCTCAGCTGTCTGCACAAGAATCAAAACCTCCTCCTCTGACCATTAAAGTGTGCCTATAAGTACACATCTAGACCTACATGCATGTCTGTTCAATGTCCATACTTATGCAATATATGTATGCATATAATATGGATAAGCAGTTAAATTATTATGAGCTTATCAGTAGCTGCACAGTTCCTGAGGGGCAACTCCGGTGCACACTGTGAACTCCTCTGAACAAGAGTAAAAGTTTCTTACCACTCCAGCTAACGACATATTCTTTATTGGGCAGGTACTTAACAGAAAAAACATGAATATTTTAGAGAGACTTCAAATATTTTATTGAGAATATCTTTTCCTCTCTCTTCCCTTAGAAGCTATGGTGCCATTTTTCAGTCTAGCAGTATATTAACGAAACACAGAAAGGGATGTATTATCTAAAAATACAACCCTGGTCAATACAAACTAATGTAGTATTTTTCTATACATAAAAAATATTACGACTTTAGAATCTAATGGTTTTACAATTGCAAGATATGGTATATTCCTGCTTTCTAAT